GAATTAGAACATCTTCTAGTTTTAGAAATTTCATTTCTGGTCAACTCATCTTGCTAAGACTTTCTTTAGAAAGTAAATCTATGAAAAAAAAACGAGATCAACTCTAGAAAACAGAGACCACACACTTACCTCGTACTGACTAGCATCTCGAAAAGCGTCCTTAAAGGGCAGAGTACAATTGGTACCATCATAATCTATCCGATAATTAATAGGAACAGCGGTCCCGTTGTATCGTATCAATTCCTCTTTGCCAGACGGACGAGGGCAAATCCTAGTTTGATTATAGCGATTTCGCCAAAATGAAAGACCGACGGGTTTCTGAAAAACGACCTTAAAAAGAACGGAAGAATGGAGTTTTTGGCGCTGGTCAATCCGTTTTGGGTTTTGCTCCAGCGGACTAAACGTCTTCTAAGAATTGAGGTGGCATTCTGATTGCTTTTGTAGCCGGCTTACTGGGAACAGCAAATGGATAAGTTAGTACTGTCGTCCTCTAAGACAAGTCTGGAATGATTGAATCAACATTGTAGGCATTGGCGTAGAAGGCCTGGATGGGCTAGGCGTGCGTCGTATGCGATCTGATTCCTGGAACACGCGTGTGGTAGGGCACTATTGCCGTTATTCTAATTCTGCCCAAAGTTTGGTAAATCTGCTAAAACTGCTCGATGCTTCTGTTTATGGGGGCCTCTTTTCTTATAGACCGTTATCTAAAAACTATTAAATATCCTTTTCAGCTGGATCCAGCCTACCACTCTCCCTTCCGCTGCCTCTTTCGTTATCTTCTTTATTTTGCGAACTATTTCTTTGACATAGTACCATTAATGGTTGTTTGTACTCATTCATGCGTGCATTCCACACTGATAGCAGCAATTCAACGGCTGATAGTCAAGGAATGTGTCAAAGAAAAAAGTTTTTACTACTACCAAAACAGTGAAAAGTAAGTAGTGAGAGATGAAGAAGGAACGACACTGGAATGAAAACTATCGGGAATGTAAGTCATAGGTGCAACAGTTTATTTCAGCAGTAAAGGATTCGGCGATTCTTGGTAGGCACCAGCATGTCTCATCGCTACCTGTGCGCCTAACTTCTGCAGGCATTTACTGACAATGTTGCAACTCTAGTCGTTTTCATTTGAAAGGCTGAGCGGGGCTGTTCTTGGACTGATGCCTTCTCTGCATCCCTGACAGCTAACCGTTAGAGCGTTAAGAATAACTTGGGCGAAGGAGTGGGAAGGGGGGTCCCATTAGACAGACAAGTACAACAGCTAAAGCTGGATAGGGGAATTGCGACAAACGAGGGTTACGAAACACGACTGTGGGTCCTGGCTCGAACGTCTAATAGAGATTCAAAACAGCCAAGTGTCGCATACTATTTCAACATAAAGACCCGAGAACCTGGTTCCCGTTGTGAATTTCTAAAGGACAACGTAAGTGGTCTCCAAACGATGACTCTGAATTGCATCAGTTTTCCGACAAGAATCGGTCCCACATCTACGTAAACGTAACTTAACGACGAGTACGCTCTTTCTATGATTCAAGCCATTCTGTAACTACGAGGACACTTCTTTTTTCCATTCGTTAAATCATTCGTGCACGTAGTTTGCTAGGTGTCGCAGAAATAAGAGAAACTTCGTTTCTTGACCATCCAATCTCTATTCCGAAGCCTGACTCGTACATCGTAACAATTCAGGTCCACCACAGCAGAAGTACGACTTACACGGACTATTTGGGTTGGCAATTCAAATACTAAAATCGTCGTTTTCCAGATGAACACACTCCGAACGAATAGTGCTGGTGCAAAGTCGACTGCATTAGTGAGCTTGCCCGCTTGTGGAATTTGTTTCCAGGTATCTCTCAATGCAACAGCTTAACACTTTAAGAAAGGGACCACAAAATAGGGAATGCTGAAAAGAACTCTAAAAGAATGTCGAACAGTATCTTTTCACAAAGCGGTGAGGTCTTAGGAAAAGATGACAAGAGAAATTGTGCAATGACAAAACCTGAAACGGGCCGATTTCGTTTTTTTTAGTTCTCGCGAGTATGTTATGGACGCTATACCCCCACGCCCCTCTTTATGCGATCCACGAGGAGTACTACCTCAGCCATCCCCCTTTAAACGCATATTAACCCACTGCGTACCCTCTGCCTCTGCGCGCCATTTTCGTCCAAAATAATTCTAGAGTTTTAATAAAGTTCGAGCAGTCCATACCTTGAGATCCTCTTAAACAACCGCTCTGGGTGGCTGCGTGCTGCACGCCCTGAACCACGTCGCCTGCGTCGATTTTGAAAGGAACGCCGGGCACATGCGGCAGCGAGCGCAAAACACTGCGGTACGCAATGGGTTAATTCACTTGTAGGAAAAACTGTCTTTACACTATGGGTCATTGCATATGTAGGTTCTTCCTTTTCATATGTGTCACAGCAGTAGAGGAATCCGCTATTTCAAGACCTTGACTCTTAGCCCTACAACGAAGCGGAACATCTGCCGAAGGTGCTATCATGCGGTCACACAAACTGTATTACCTGTCTAAGTCGGTGGCAGTCGACATATGGCCATTCGAAAACTATTACTTGTACGGTTTGCCGCAATGTCACTTCTGGACCGATCACCTCAATCCCTAACAACTATCAGCTTATGGGTGAGGTTCTTTTACATTTAAATTTTGTACACTTCAAAACAGGCACATCGTAGATGCTCTGGCAATGATGAAGCTAAGCATTGGAGTGGAGCTGAAAAAGCAGCAAGAACAGTGGATGGCCCAGTTTGGAGAAATAGCTCGTGATATCAGTGCTGTATGCGAAAAAGTTGAAGGTAGATTACTTTTTTGAGTTGAACTTCATTACGAAATGTTACTGTTACAGGGCAGTTGAAAGAAATTGAGTCATCGCTTAAAGACACGTTCACGATAAAAAAAGGTTACTGCGTTCTTCCTTTAGGAATACTCAGCGCCCTCCCGTGGGTGGTAGAAGGGACCCTCTCGCCCCCATAATCTCGGCACTCAGGGCATAGTGGAAGCCCTGTAGCTGTCGTCAGTGACTTTCCCCCTCTTGATTTCACTTCAGACGAGTGTCGAGACAACACAGATTGCAACTATTCGTTCTAGGACCCACACACAATTAGCTCATCGCCGAGTGATGAGACGATGTTTTTCTCTCGTTCTTTTTTCCTCTGTTATTCTTTTTGCTGCCGCGATCCCTTATCTAATTTCTTATTCCTAGAGGCTCGAAACGATGAGCTACTTTTGCTTTTACTAGAGTTTTTTGTTTACTTATGCTTATCAAGTAAATGAATTTTTGCTTACCGTAGTCTGTTATTCGCACCAGGACCCACACGTACACAGTGAGACACATCGTATAGCTCGCCCAAACGCCCCACTTTTCTTCATTTTTCTGGTCTCATTCTCGTCCGGCCCCTTTTCAACGGTTTTTCGAAGCATTTTTACACTTCTAAAACACCGATTCACGCAGTTTCTTCACCTTTATCGCACTATTTTCGCTCTTGTCTTCCATTGTTCATCATAATCTGGACTACCCAAAATTGTCGTGTACTGTGCCTTTAAGAGCCGGCTAGATCATAATCGTAGCAAGAATACAAATAAAATACTTTTCCATTAATGGCACTTTGTTCAACTACTAGTATTGGTTCATGCAATGAGTGCTTCTGAGACCGTACCTCTTTCAGGGTTCGATCGTCTGCTTCGTGCGGATGAACGTGCCTCGACAAGTCTTCTTTCAAGCTGGGATTCAGTGAAACATCATTTGTTCCGGGCGAAGAAAGACATTCGGTTTGTATTAAAGTTCTGAGTCTCATTCATTATTTCATGCCTTTGAAAGATAGTTTTGGGGCGTTAATCAATGTCGTCAGAGGGATGCGCCCACGCATTCGACTTCCATTCAGAAACATTGGGGCGTATCGAATATGCATGTGGCCCATACAATGACTTGCGGTAGCCAGCCGATGTACATGTCAGTGCTCTTATCCTCTCAGACGAGTCTGGAACCAATTTACCGACACTAGAGGATTGGAAAGCTTAGCTGTCCTAGATATTTATTGATAAGGGACTCGAACCTGTGGCCATGCTGTGTAAAGTGCGCTACTTGCCACTGTACCACTACAGCCTTACTTAGGTCTTAAAATCGCTTTCTCATCCCTTAAAGCTGTGAATTTCTCCCAGAAATACAAGAAACGAAGTCTGCAGTACCCTATTTCAATATAGTAGCTATAAATCGTCGTAGACATGTTATATAGTGGGAACTTCAGTCCTCTGAATGCTTCGAACGATCCCTCCCAGCATTGGAGGGGCACCAGACACGAAGAATTCGCAACTACCATGGAGGCACTAGCCATAGATAATGACGAAGCTTCAACGACGGAGCGGAGTCTACCGGTGGGCGCCTCTAACGATTCTTCTCAGCATACTAGGGAAAACAGACATGAAGAGAGTGCAACTACGAGGGAGGCATCTTTACGTGATAATGGATACTTTGACTCCCGAGCGGCTCGGTGTTTTCAGGTAGGCTTGCTTGCTTACTCTAATCTAATACATTATTCAACTGAAGTTTTTTAGCGTGACGGTAAACTCAAAGAGTCGACCTTACCTTCGTACTGCGATCAGTGCCGCTGTCTCATTCCAAATGGTCCTGATAATTATTATATTCATATTATGGGAAAACGTCACCACAGTGTTTACTCAGGGCGTAGCGTGCGTACTTCAATGCGGTGGTAGAAAGGATTACCAAGGATATCTATTTCTATTAAGGCCTTACTTACATTAAGGGAAGAAACGAAACCAAGATCCAACTAATCAGGTGTCCACATCAGTTGCCTAACTTTAGAAAAATAATGCAAATTCCGCAGAAGAACAANTATAAAACCTAGCGGTGAACTATTATTTTCCCTTAATTGCTTAGACTTCTTCTATTGGGTTTATTATATCATAGTTGTTTTCTTACTTCAGAATTTAGCGTTAGACGCCAATTGACTCTTTGCTCTATTTAGTACGATATGCTCATTAAAATTGTTTTGTGTACACTTTACGTTCTGTTTTTGGAGATAAAGTTTTCGACAACTAGGTTGACCCTGACCAAGCATTCTGATCCCTTATGCTTCTGTATTGACTCTTATACAGTCCATTGACAACACGTTATTGATGAGAGGAGTTTGCTCAGGTGGCGTTTTTACCAAACGTTTGCTCGCGATCCCACATATTTTCCCCATCATGACGAAAAATCGACATATGGGAGCATCGGGTAGAAGATCCGAATATTCACAAATTCGCTCTGTGCGCCTTGACCTAATAGTTCCTGATAGGCATCTCAGGGAAATGGGATACCCCTATCAAGCATACAGAAAGCACACTTCAGCAAGTTACAAGTCTAAAAGACATTTAATATTACGCGCTAATTATTTCTTTTGATCGACCTCAATCATAGAATAGTTTACTGCTATTTATAATATGCTTCCATACCAAACATAGGATTCGCTAAAGATCAAAATAACACTCACCGCACTCTCCTCATCAGGAGCTATTCGTCTGAATTTGTATTGGAGGTAATTCGCACATACTTGGACCTCATCACCCGTATCTGTATTTCTCGCCGTCAAAAACACGAAGCTTGTAGCATATCCATTAGTTGCTCTTCGAGCCTAAATAATTTGTAAACTTTTTTCTTTCTGAGTTGTCGTATTGGAATTGAACTTGACAGTTGCACTTATGAGATGCATTTGACAACCACATTAATAGGGCGGAAAGCGTTAGATTAATTATAGTACCGTATTCAACGCGTCGAATTTGATTCAACAACCAAAAAATTTTTAGATTTTCCTGGACGACCGCTCTAGGAAATATTAATACTTGATGTTACTCCACAGTGTAATACGTCATCGTCCACAACAGGCTCTTGAAACTGAAGTTCTACTAAAATGGTATTCAAAAGTCTAACTTGGTATATTTCTCGCATATTCCTATAGTTTTTTTGGTATTGAACAGAAAAATGGGAAGTAATGATATGTTAAATGCAAACTGTGACGAAGTTCATCAATTAACATAAAAAAAAACAGACCCGTACCTCACAGAAGCCTAGTAGTAGTGTTAGTATCAACAATGTCGCGTAGAACTTCATCCCGATCTTCGGAAAATTGATCGAACAGTGTTAAGGAACACCTGGATCCGAGTTGACGGGCCAATCCTCTAAGCCAAAGGACTACGCATAGAAAAATTCTGGATCTGATACGAAAGAATGTATTTTTTTGCCTTTCACAAAATTTCGAAGAGCAACTTCGGTGGAAGCAACGAACATTAAAATGAACCAAACATACAGCGAAACGATATATCATTGACTTTCTATGAACTGAGGTTTAGAGCGAGGGTCGATTATTTGAAGTAGCCGAGTATACTAGGGCTGCAGAACACAGAAGGCGTATCATCGGCTAAATGGAATGAAATGGGTAGATTTTCAGAGACAAAGAAGAGGACACGCTTTTAGCTCTATCGAGATTTGGACATCACTGAGCCATCTCTTTCAGTGCATAACTGCACCGTTTGTTTGCAGTTATTCAGTCACACAATGACCCTTCTGTTACTAAATAAAAGGGATGGTTCACAGATTCGAAGATGGCAATAACATGTAGAATATACTGAATAAATCGACGGCAACGAGCTGGCCATAAAAGCGATTTCTGTACCGTTTGCGGGAATAACTGATCCATGACGTGTACTAAATTAGGATTGCTCGGGTGCATTACTATGCAGGAACCTAGAGTAATGCAGGAAACACTGAAAGGAATTCATTCAGGCGACAAAGGTCAAGGTCGCTCAATTCTCTTCTCAAATCTCCTTTCGCGAACTTTAATTGCTCAGTGGCTCTAAAATACGGTCTCAGACTAACATGAGCAACGATTGAGCAATAAAGATGAACCAATTTGTGAAAACAAGACGAATAAGTCTCCAAAAGTCTGGGAAGGTTATCCATTTAAGTCTCTGGTTGTCTACTGTTAATGCTGAGCCTGAGTTACGCCCATAGCGGCTGCGGAGGTTTTTATTTACACAGAGGACCTTTATTTGGAAGGGTCGTCACAAACAGATTCGAAGCTAGCCACGTTTAGAGCTCAATGGCGTCTGATTGAAATTGGAAATAACAACGAAATGTTCCTTTCACATTTTGAATATTCAGTTGTTATAAAAACCATATTGTTTTCTTTTTGTGATGGATGTTAAATGAACATTTTGCCACATATTGGAACTTTTCCAGATTCCTACCCATTATTTGATGAGGGTTGATACATGAAGGATTTAATAAGGACTCGAGAATGGTCGGAACGTGTTGAGCGCTACCTTTGAAAGGGTCGAAAAAAGCCTGATTTTGCTGTTAGCACTCAGATTTCAGGAAAAAACCACCTCTTATAGTCTTGACTTCGTTGTAACCCAAACCTTACATAAGAGTCAATAGAGAATCTTCGAAGTGCATGAGATAAGGACAGGACAAGGTCATGGAATAACAAAAGTTTCCAGGTTTGGTGCTCTGGCTGGAAAACTAAATAGAACGAAAACAATGTATCGATAGAAATCCTTCGAAAGAATTAAAAGGTTTCCCGTCTCGATATCTATTGTATAAGCCGTCTCTGAGTTGTGCGTGCGTGCGAAAATTCGTATTTACATAGAGGGCTGAACAAAATTTGAAAACAGGATTTTAGGAAAAAACTTTGTTCGGTCCGTCTCTCTGAAACGAGATTAAAAACATAAGCATTACATCACACTGGGAATATAAGGGAAATGCTATCGTTGGTGACTTGTTCTTGTAGTGAAGCTCGCATAAATGAACGCTAAGGGCAAACCTAACAATCATTCTCAATGAGAAAAATATCGGCGCTCTGAACCGCTTCATCACGCATTTTGAAGCATCGACAACAACCGGCAGTTAAAGTGTCCTCAATAAAATAATCAATACTCTTGTAAACATAGAAGAAACCGTACAGCCTATCGTTATTTCGACGCAGCAACCAAATCATATGATGCTTTTGATAAGCCAAGGAAAAAAAAACGAAAAAGAATTCAATAATCCTTTGTTTTTACGAAAGGTTTTTATTGCTGATTCCGATACCACGCATGGTTTACCAAAAGATCAAAGGACATCAGTCAAACCGTTTCTTCCTCACTGTAGAAGACCACCATTGTTGAACTCTCTCAAGCAACTTCAAGGCCCTGAGGAGGTCATGGAATGTGATGGTAAGATATTTGCAGACCAGTTCTCATCAAATGAAAGTGTATAAGAATCTGTAAAGTTAAGATGATTGAAAGGAATGAATAATTGTTACTCAGGGTCTACTCATTGAAATGTTTGAACAATGACGACCTAATGATTTCTATGTCTATTGACACAACTGAACATATGCTTCACAAGAAAACGATAAACTTTCTGAGGCATATTCAGTTAAAGTCCACTCTTGAGTTCCGATTCCGATTAGTTCTGCAAATTTATATTGAACGTTGAAAGTTAAGTATTTAAAGAGAGACGGCGTGAGAAACTTGAGTTAAGGGTTGGGTACTTGGTGATACGGGGTGAGCCTGAGCCAAATAAGCAAGGTAAACAACAGAAAAACAGGCATTAACGACTAACTCGAGAATTTCCCCCATTATGGCGATACAACTTTGAGCGGAATTCAGGGAAGCAAAACGTTCCTGACACGGCAATGACTACTGTGTAAGGGGATGGGAAACTTCCAGAGGTTTGATTCAATGTTCTTCTGAGTAAAAGGCTGTGTGCTTGAAGCTAGCTTTGCGGACTAGGGAAGAAGTGGTTGTTGAAAATGAATTGTGCAGAGAAAATTGATATAACAGTGAGTAAGACAGGGCAGCACTCAGAAGAGGTTTCCATCAAAGACAGACGACGTCACCCGAACATTGCAGCTAACAAATGCCGGATCGTCGCGCATCGATCGCCGCGACGGCGGTGCCGCGCGATGTGGCGGCGGGCGCCAGGCCGTCAGCCAGACAAGTCTGTCGTCCATCACCTGATGACTGCATTAGTTCATGGTCGAATCGAACAAAAACATTCGGTCAATCGATATTCAGCCAACGATAGATATGGGGTAGCGATAACTGTCGAGGAAACCTTGACAAGGAAGGAAAAAACAAAACACCACCATGAAAGTGCTGCCCGAACGCCGGAAAGGGGGCGAAATTCAGTTGGATGAATGAGCTCGTTCAGAAGAGCGAAATGGGGTACATTGGAGAACACGAAATATTAGTATCGTTGTGTGGAAGCAGAAATAGAAAGATAGATAGATAAAGAAGAAGAGTACAAGTTGGTCAGGGGTCTTTTTTCGTGCACGAAGGTCTTATCGTCAGTAACGAAAAGCATACGATATAAAGAGCTAGCAGCGCAATTTAGCCCAACGTGGATACCTCATCATTAAGTTGTGTTCATAGTTTGCGTTGAACTGGAACAGGTAGAATCGATCTCACCTGCTTCACCTTTTACGTGTTTTGGGAAGGCCGGTAGTATGATAGAGAACAATTTTAACTATTGCTTTTTGTACTTTCCTATCGGCGACTGTTCCTATCAGGAGTGACGCGAGCGCACCGATCGTCCGACGCGAACTATGAACATAATTGTGGTCAACTTTCTTCCAAAGCACTAACCTACGGTTTGCTGGTAATCGAGGCCTGTGGGAATCGCAAATTGGACTTCTAATCTTGAGTACAATTACAATATCAAAGTGTGATAGATTTGAAACCTGTACCTACTTTTATCGATGTAAAAAAGCCGCACTAATAGGCGCAAGCCTGCAGCCGTTCCATTTGTCTCGACTATCTGACGGCGCTAAGACCTTTGAGATCTTTGAGAAACGATATATGACGAGGATGCGATCTATGCGATTTCTAATAGTTCTTTTCAAATCCAGCACCCGATCTCCGAAATGTCAAGGCTATTTCACTCTGGGAAATGGGGCAGCTGGTTCGGTCGGTCATGGTCAACCATCTCACTACAGTTCAACCTTTTCTACTGCCTCATTAGAGCTATTTTTCTGGAATGATGAAAAGTATTCCTTACTAGCTGAGAACAACCCTCAAGAATAACCCTCAGAATGTTATCAATCAGTCAACCGGTGAGGCAGCGGAGCATCTCTCTGCGTACGATCTTGACATGTAGCTCAAGCATGAGAAAAGGTTGATTGCAATTTGAAATAGGAAAGCACTTTGCGACTTTTAGCATTGATTAATCTTGTTTTGGAATACGCCCTGCAATCTATTCCCATTCAGCATCGTCGTGGCGTTTGAATGCGCATGTTCCCTGTAAAGTGGTGTCGTAGTGACGAGCTGACGAGCGAATCAATGCTTTATGCTTCAAATTGAAAGAAGAAAGAATGAAAATTGTGTCTGGAACAAATTTGCTGACTCTGAAAGAATATAAGGCTTGCAGGGTGTCAATCAGGAATCCCATGCCCGTCTTATGGATGTAATAGTGCAAGTCGAAATAATTCGAAATAAAGGATGAGAAAGCATTTTCACTGGCAAAAAAAAAATTCAAATGCATTGGAAAGTCCCTAACACCCTCGTACTTGATCATTACAGTGACCCTGACCGATCCACCCAACCCCCTTTCACTTATGCCTGAGTTTAACAATTATTTCTATAAAGTTAGTTATCCATGATCAATGAAAGGGTGGTAGTCATGAATGTCTACAAATGTCATTACCTTTAACTCAAGAATAGGCAGCTTAGGGGATTACCTAAAATAGATTTAGAAATCAGGAGACCATAGTGATTCGTCGAGGAAGTAGCCGGTAAACTTTATGATTCTATTGAGAACTTTATGTCCTGCATTATAACTACCGCCCCTAGATTGGAGCCTCTCTTAGTTTTCCGCCTTTGTCGGATTAGAAGGTCTTCCATCCAACGTTCACGATCATGTCGTCAACAGAAGGTCTGAACCCTGAGTCATTCTCCGGTCATCGTATTATGGTACGACGGATATGGTGCTTCACGTTTAAAAAGTGGTACTTGTTCCCTCTAGACTGATTAAATGACATATTTCACTTTGGTCGGAATAAGAGTTTCTCGGGCCTGTACAAGTCAATCCTTCTACTAACATAAGTAGAGTAGAGTAGAATTACGGTATCAGAGCAACAGCGTGGAACTTCTACATGCCACTACACACGATTCTCAATATAAGTATAGTGGAGCCAGAAAATGAACGAGGCATAGTTCATTTTCACTACATCCCTTCCAGTTCTTCGATCCCTCCCAGCTGAGCGACTATCACTCAGTTCCTAGAACGGGTCCTAAACTTATAGCCACCTAGACCACACCGTCTGGGAGGATAAAAGCGCTGATGTGTACAGCGGCTAGCCAGCACAAGTCTTTGTATAGAACATATTCCGAATGGAACTCGAATGTGGGACCCATGCCGTAGCTAAAAAACGTTGCTCTTCGGTGACACTTACTCCTTTTAGACAGGCCTAGCCTAGGCCAAATAGGCTAGTTGATCGTAGTTACACATAAAACTCTTAGGTTCTACAGAGGAAAAATTTGGCTAATTTCCCATATAACACATTTTGAGGCGAAAGACATTTAGTAACGAACAGGGTCTTTAGCTAGACTGCTCATTTAATAGAAATGGATTGAGCCCTATACTAGGCAAGAATTAGTTCCCAGTCTCCGGAGTGTTCTTTTCTTTGAGCTTTCGAAGAACACCGTTTTAAAGTAACCAATACCGCACTCGGCTTGGAATTCTCGCGAAGGCGCCATGCACTAGACCTTCCTCTAACAACAATGCATGGGCGTTTGAATCAGCATTATAGCGAATCCATGATCATTTCCAATTTTCTGTACATAACAACGTTCACAATGAAGTCGTTATTCGACCCGACATCTCAGCAAGTTTATCTTCACAAAAAGCTTAAAGATTCATTTGACATGCAAGCAATGAATTCCTGGACCGATCTCATATTTAGCTCCAACCGGTCACATTTGCATAATAAGATAAGACCACGAACCATGAATAACCTCGTGGAATTGAAAATCACAGTGTTCTTGCCCGAGTTCGAGTAAACGTGCCCCAATGAGAATAGCTACAATGCGTGGCGCCGTGAACGACGTTGCCACGCCTCTTTTTTGGAGCCGTTTTAATCAGTACAGCGTCTGTTCGCCACAGTTGAAGTAAGCTTTGAAGGTTCAAGACTTTTTGTAACTATTCCTCTGCAGTACAATCAGATATAGACTGAAATTCCAATTTTGAGTTGTGGAAATGGTACTCTAGCTTGTCGCTAAAGCTCAACTTATTTTTTAGTAATTTAAATTATTTGGGAGTTTATCTTTTCACGGGAGTAATTATAAACTTCTGTTTCAGTTGTGTGCAGGAGTTTGTCGTCATGAGTGAAGGAATTGTGAATCCTGAATGTGACGACAAACCTACACATGGATCCGATACTGACATCGTCGCCACCGTGGACGAGAATGCTTCGGATAGTAATAGTGTCAAATCAGCTGCACTAGTAGATTTGCACGCTTGCGGAATTTGTTACCAGGTAACTCACAATTTCATTACAATCGTGAAAGCTTACAGCCAATCAAGAATGAGTTGAAGGAGGTCGAAAGAAATGACAAGGAACGTAATGCTATACTTGGAGTGAGAGGGTTGTTAATTGGAGCACTTATTTCATTAGCTATTCGAACAAACTGGGAGAGGAGGGGCATCATAGTTGATTGAATTGAGAAAAAACCCCAACTTCTAGCAAGTTTACAAAATGAGTGGGAAGCTGCCTTTTTTCAGGAGAAATAACAATATAATAACATATAAATTTCCAGCTTTATAACGATTCCGATCGTTTGCCGAAAGTTCTATCATGTGGTCACACAAATTGCCTCAGTTGTCTGAATAGTTGGCAAAAGCATGGCTCGTCACCGTTTCCAATTTGTGCGGTTTGTCGCAAGGTTACTCGCAGACCAATCGTCTCACTACCGAATAACTTTCAACTTTTGCGTAAGTTTTACAGAATTCCTGCTGCGTTCCTTTCATTCTACTAGGAAAATCACATTGCAGAAGTTTTGCGAAGGATGAAGTTGATATCCACTAACTCGGAGCCTGAAACATCTGCGGAACAACGAAAGTCCACAACTCAAGTTGAAGAAATGGCACCGGGTATCACCTCTGTTTGCGAGCAGATTGACGGTGAGTTATGATCACTAGATATTTGGTTCAACAATTTACAATTACAACTACAGAGCACATGAGCGAAGTTGCGTCTTTGCTTGAGAGTCAGCTAGACCATCTAAACAGTATGAGTACAAATGATGAACATCCTTATGCAACAGGTGAGGAAAATTTCCTAAATGTCGTATAAGGCAAGGAGTTAATTTTCACATGCCACATTCGTTTCCAGAATTCGATCGTTTACTTCGTATAGTTGAGAGCGCTTCGGCAGATCTCATTTCACATTGGGAAGTTACAAAACGTCATCTGCTACACACCAAGAAAGCGGTTCGTTTATTATTCTGAAAAATTCATTTAAAATCCTTGTTGCATAGTTGGTAATGTACACAGAAACCTAGTAAATGCTCTGTACGTAGAAATCGATATGGGTGCTGTATTCTGTTGACAGTGCCTTAGCACAACCGAATCTGAGCAATTCATTAGGCTACGTTGCATTTTATTGTGATTTCTCGCGAACGGAGTAGCCATTCGATCGGTCGTCTGATATCTTTCAATTACAGAAATCTCGGACAAGCTCGTCGGTGCCTCCAGTTTTTAGTATACCGGGGTACGAGATGCTTTCATATTACTTGTTTTCTTCTTGGTACGCCACTATCTTTTGTTGTTTGGTCGCTTTGATATCTAAGTTTCTCTACTTTTCGATTCAACCTTTTAACTCGAGTTAAATTCAGGTTAAGCGACTTCTTCGGCATTGGGAGACATTTCGATGAAATACGAACCGATTCGGCTAGTGATGATCCATTCGACAGGATTCATGATTTCCTGGGCTTGGATTCAGACACGTATGCTTTCAGGCTAAGAAAACCTTTTTGATTGCACAAGCTCTTTGCATGTGTGAACATATAAGTTTACAAAACATTGTTGATGGTATGTACCTTTGGAGCACAATTTCAGCCCTCCAAATGCATATTCCGAATTTTCCCTGTTCGGAAGCGAGACTAGTCACGAAACAGCCGTTAGTGCTAGTGAGGCGTCCTCACAAGACAACGAAAATTACTCGACAGTTATTGAGCCAAGGGAGGAGTCCCCTTTCTTGCACATTTCGGTAAATTTTCCTTATGTTTCAGCTGCTAATGTTTTGAGTTTTTTAATAGTCCTTGACATTTTCGAAAAGTTCCATTCTAGTTGAGGTTAGGATTTAAAACTGTTTTTTAGTAATTGTGTGAATTCAGCTAATTCAGACATTTGATGGCACGTTTGGCTCATACTCATACTGTAGTCTGTGCCACTGCCGACTTCCAACGAACACCGACAGCCATCGAACTCATGTGCTAGGAAGACGTCATCAATCTGCGCTTGGGCAGTATGTGCAATCTCTATTCCGCTTGAGAAGTTCGTTTTTAGGACATTCTACTACTTTTTTTCAGTACAACTGATTCGAGCGTGACGGATGCTATGCGTTTCCTTGGCTTACATGTGAACAGAAATCGTCAACCGAGGCGTCCTCGAACCACTCCACTTTCTTTTGCGAGACGTTTTGCTGATATATTACATTCTCAGCACCGTGCAAGTACTCCAGTAGGGAGAAGTAAGACATTTCTCCGCCGTACCTTTTTTAAAATTAGTGTTACCATTGTTTTCAGGAGACGAGCCTAGCGCAGCTTCCGAAAGGACTCGTTCGGCATACCAAAGCAGTCACCCTTTCTCTGGTAGGCGCTCTTATCACAGAAATGGGAGGAATACGCCGCAAGAAAATTCGAATCCTCGAGCCAACACCATCGATCAGAATAACACCAATTCCTCCGTGCCATCGCCAAGAACTAGTGCTGGTAACACTACAGAGCCTGCAAACAGCTATCGTCCATTGCCATGGAACCGTGGACGAACTCCTGAAAGTAGTCATGGTGAAGGCAGCCGTGACCGACGCTGGGATCCGCGACTCGCTTCTCCTTC